GAGAACAGGGTATTGAGGAGAATATTTGGACAGAAGAGGGACGAAGTGACAGGAGGTTGGAGAAAACTGCATAATGAGGAGCTTCATAACTTGTACTCTTCTCCAAGTATAACTAGAGTGAGCAAGTCAAGGAAGATGAGGTTAGCAGAGCATGTGGCACGAATGGGGAGACGAATTCACATAGTATAATGGTGAGAAAGCAAGGTGGAAATAGACCACTGGGAAGACCAAAGCGTAGGTGGCTGGACAATATTAAAATGAATATTAGAGAGATAGGATGGGATGCTATGGATTGGATTGATCCGGCTCAGAATATAGCCCAGTAGAGGGCTCTTGTGAACACGGTAATGAACCTTCAGATTCAATAAAATTCTGGGAAATTCTTGAGTAGCTGCACAATTGGGGGCTTCTCAAGAAGGGCTCAGCACCATGAGTGAGTGAGTTGCCTCCAATTGCATGCTGTTGATACTGTGTTTAAGAGAAAACCCGTCCACTGGCTCTAGAGTTGTTAGAGGACACACACCTTCATGTGCACACGCGCCCAGATATTCCTAGGAAACAAGCCAAATGCCAGTCTAATATAATACTTCTGCATCTGCGCCTGAGGCACCTTGGCATTTTCAAAACTGTGCTGTATATCATGAATATATTACCTTACTGAACAAACCAACTGAGAGACATTCATTCTTGTAATCCATACATGGCGAACACACCAGTAACAACATATCAACCTTTTACTTCAAATTGTATTTGTTATAGAAAAACGAAATTAATCTGAACTGCTGCCAGCGAGTCAAAAATGAAATCTTCTGTTTGTTTGAAGCCAGTTTAAATTACAGCTATCTTATAAGATTCTAGGTTTTCAAGACGGTGACTATGAAGAATGTCGTATTCTGGGATGTGGTGTGTGTAGATATTGTGTTAACCGACGTTTCTGAGGAATGTATCGCCTCCATCTTCAGGGTATAACAAATCCGCTGCAGTCTGCAGCCACCTGCTCAAGCTGGTTCATCGATAGCGTGTTTCTTATATTCAGAAGACGGAGGCGATATGTTCCTCCGAAACGTCGGTTAACACAATATCTACACGGCTCCACATCTCAGAAGACTGCATTCTTTACAGATATCTTATTTTCTTTTGTTACATGTATGACGAATCTTCGAGATGAAACCCTAAAGAGCCTTATTAAATAATAGGTGGTTTCTTGGGTTAAATGTGGAGTCTTACAAGAAATTACGGAACGCTGGAAACACGGAATATCAATTCAAAAAGGAATACGTTTTATCTAATTTTAAGGAAAACTGAAGAGTAATTGAAACTAATTTTGTCGATTTTTTAGAACAATGAACAGGAAAAAGCGATACACTTCAGCGACTAAATAAAACTATCCATCTGATGATGACCTCATAAAGTCGAAGAGCGTGGTAGAAGTAACATTTATAAAAGTGAAAATGTAGCACACCAAAAGCATAATAAGAAGTTGCACATTCAGGGCTTCTCCCGCAAATTAATCCAAGTAGTGCAAGTCCAGTCACACTTGAAGGACATTATTAATAAATTACGTTGCTACTTGCCTGCTTACCTAACTGCATTGTGTCACATCCCAGAAGATATTTTAAGAAAATTATTTTTCGAATTTACTATTTTTTTCTCTAAGAGAGAGTCAGTGAGCAGAGGAATATCCTACACGAAATAAGAAAACGGAAGGCTAATTGGATTGGTCATATCTTACGCGATAACTGCCTTCTAAAAGAAGTTATTGAAAGAAAGATAGAGGGGCGGATAGAAGTGACCAGAAGACGAGGAAGAAGACGTAAGAAGATGCTGGATGACCTTGGGGACAGAAGAGGAAATTTTCATTTGAAGGAGAAAGCTCTAGAACGCATTAAGTGGAGGAACTGTTTTGGAAGAGACTGTGGACCTGTCGTCTTGACAGATTACAGATGAATGATGAATGAATGAAGAGAGAGGATGTCACTAATAACACTATTATTTTCACGAAAATACTTGAAATTGGTTTCTTAAAATTACTTTTATTAAAGGTTTCAAGTGTGCTGAAAACGTGATATGTAAATTACACTTCTCTGATGGATTTGAAATTCTCACAACGGGTGAGCACAAAACAAACGATTTCTGGGCTTTAACATTGCGTAACTCGGTAGCACTTCAATTATATTTCGGAGGGAGGAATCAGCACCATATTCTGGGCCGACGGGTAATCACAAGGCAAGATATCAGTAAGAAACAGATGGCCTTCAAACAAAAAGTTCCCCAAAATGTCGGTGAACCATGCAACTCAAGTGATCGAACTCTTTGAAGCTTCTCTTCGAGGAGCATGTGTCAGTCTCTTAGTGTATCTGCATTTCGTAAGCTGTTTGTCATTCGATTATGCATTTAAAAGCGTAAAGCTGCTTTAAGTACCAGCAAGATTGACCTCATGCAATCTCTTTGAAGCTGGAACTCTTTGTCACACAGCCCCGGCATTTTTGTTTATAGGACTACACCCCTGCTAATAACCTAAGTCGTTAAGCCGAACGGCCTTCAATACAAATGATTACAATCTTGCCAGAAAATACGGATTAAGCTACATCAAGTGCATTTAAGAATTATTACATTATTCATAGGGTACTGGGGATTATCTCTGAGGCATTCTGGCATTAAGCATTGTCTCTGGTATTTCCGGATTTTTTTGTTGTCATCTCTTTTTTATGCTCAATGTCGAAACTCTTTTAAACGACAATATCATATTCTGCCCGCCTCTGTGGTCTAGTGGTCAGTGTTACTGGCTACAGATCCAGAGGTCCGGGTTCGATTCCCGGCTCTATCAGATATTTTCTGAGAAGTAGTGGGTCTGGAACGGGATCCACTCAGCCTCGTGAGCATAATTGAGGAGATACTTCAAGGAAAGAGCGGCTCCAGTCTAGAAAACCGAAATAAACGGCCCTGGAAATTTGTTGCGCTGACCAAGCGACACCCTCTATCCGCTAGTGTTGGCACTAACTTCGCCGACAAGCGGCGGTCGCTCGGTCGGTATAGTTCGCTTGCGGACTAAAATCACGAAGTTAATGTCATATTCTGGGATATATCGTCATGTGGTCCTGTACAATTTCACCGATATTGTCTCCATTCTCAGAGTCAAAGTATAACGCAAACAAGTAGCCGGCAAGAAGCAGGTAACAAGCACAGCTGGTTGCATACATAGAGCTAGTTTCATCATCCGAAATTTCTGTTATCTTCTACCCGAAGTCACGGTATCGCGTAACAAAGACAGTATGCCTATCATTCATAGTTACCATTCTAAGAACGTCAGAAACAACGTATTTTAAATGGCTTAACCGAAGGTGTATTACATGAGATTTGAGTTTTTCACGGCTATTAGGATGTGACGCCGTGTAGGTTGGTAGGTAGGTAACGAAAGCACAGATTGACACATTCAAGAAGATGGTAATATTAACACTTCAGCTCCTTACTGACTTATGTCTGCATAAAATATCTCTCTACTTCAATTGTAAAATGTGGAAATAATCGACCCTAATTACCGGGAAAGTACGAGTACGAGTGTACTGCTGTATCCGTCATTCAACAAGTGAACTGTTTCTACTTTCGTCAGGCAACGTTTCACAGTCATTAAAACGCAGCTATTACCAAGAGAGGGCGATGGCGTAGTTTGTTGAGCCACTATGCTACAAGCCGGAAGGTTGCGGGTTAGATTCTCGGTAAAGTCATTGGATTTTCTCAACTCACATAATTCTTCCAGCTGCAATATGGCCCTGGCGTCGACTCAGCCTCTAACAGAAATTAGTAACGGGAATCTTCATAGGGGATAAAGGGCGGCCGGCGCGTAAAGCTGACAACCTCACAGTCATCTGTGAGCCGATTGTCTAGAAAATGTGGGAGCCTCAACGTCTCACAATCCTGTGGGCCTCCACGTCCTGTTACAGGGAGAATTTTACCTTTAGGACCAAGAAAAGGGGCAGACGTCTTGCACGCCTCAGAATATGTCAATGGTTAAGGCTCAATACACCCGTAGAATTCCGGCTACCTCAACTAAACAAAGAGTAAATTAAATGCAGTCTTTGCCTGAGGTATATGAAATGACGTCATAATGGGAGCACAGTATTTGCTCTATGCCAATCACAGGGGACCGCACTGGCATTTGCCTGGACGGAAGAGCCTCAAGAGAGCCTCAGGAGAGCCCGTGTTCCGGCTGAGCATCAAGCTGAGAGCCGCACAAATTCGAGTCTAAGTGCGCTACTTCTAAGTATATACGTTCAGCAATTAAATTCAATTAAATTCAGTTATTTATTATTTATGTGCCGAGTGAAGAGCTACAGGACCAATTACAGAGACAGGACAGTGTAGATACAGGTAATTGCATTATGGACAGACAGAACATAGAGTCAAAGATATTTTACAGGCAAGCACTGGAGGAAAAACATATTAATGCAGAAAAATAAAAAATAAACAAGTAATAATAATAATAATAATAATAATAATTCATTAACACAAATCGAAGTTATTACTAACAATTGAGAAATGTAAAACATAAATATTTAAGAAGAAGAAGAATTCAATTAATTTCTAGTTTATATGCGTGGAAACTTAACAGCTGCAAGGCCAATTACAGACAGACCATAGTGTAGGTTCAAACACAACATAAAACCAAAGACTAATCAAAAGTAAGCACTGGAGGAAAAACAAATTAATGAAGAGAAGTAAACAAACAAAGTAGCAATAATTTCATTAACACAAAACAAAGTTGTTATTGAAAATTGAGAAATGTAAAGTATAAATATTCAGAAGTATTAATAAAAATAAAATTCGTTTTTTGTTTATATAATTGCAAAAGTAACAGCTCAGAGGCCAATTACAGACACAGTACAGTGTAGATTCAAGTAATTACATTATAAACAAATACAACATAAAGTCAAATATTAATAACAATAGTTTTTTCTCTGCCTAGCAACATGAGTATGCACTCAGTTCCAGTCTTGATATCTCTACCAAGTCAGGAGCAACTGCAGTAAGATGCGCTGTGATGCGCTGGTTGCAATGACACTGACCCCACTGGATGATGCGCTGGTTGCAATGACACTGACCCCACTGGATGATGCGCTGGTTGCAATGACACTGACCCCACTGGATGATGCGCTGGTTGCAATGACACTGACCCCACTGGATGATGCGCTGGTTGCAATGACACTGACCCCACTGGATGATGCGCTGGTTGCAATGACACTGACCCCACTGGATGATGCGCTGGTTGCAATGACACTGACCCCACTGGATGATGCGCTGGTTGCAATGACACTGACCCCACTGGATGATGCGCTGGTTGCAATGACACTGACCCCACTGGATGATGCGCTGGTTGCAATGACACTGACCCCACTGGATGATGCGCTGGTTGCAATGACACTGACCCCACTGGATGATGCGCTGGTTGCAATGACACTGACCCCACTGGATGATGCGCTGGTTGCAATGACACTGACCCCACTGGATGATGCGCTGGTTGCAATGACACTGACCCCACTGGATGATGCGCTGGTTGCAATGACACTGACCCCACTGGATGATGCGCTGGTTGCAATGACACTAACCCCAATGGGTGATGCGCTGGTTGCAATGACACTGACCGCACTGGATGATGCGCTGGTTGCAATGACACTGACCCCACTGGATGATGCGCTGGTTGCAATGACACTAACCCCAATGGATGATGCGCTGGTTGCAATGACACTGACCCCACTGGATGATGCGCTGGTTGCAATGACACTGACCCTACTGTATGATGCGCTGTTTGCAATGAAACTGACCCCACTGGATAATGCCAACGTTCGTTTGTCACATTTAACGAGGTATGATAATGATGACAGAAGGGGGGAGGTTAGACTTAGCCAGCATCCTTCAAATCAAGCTGCATTACAACATGTAATTTCCTGTGTGTTCCGACGAACGGTGTGCAAAAAGAATGAACATGTTTTGATGTGTGCAGGACTATTAGAAGTATCGTTATGTAAAGAAAAGGTTTTGTATCCCTAATGCATGGACTCACCATTAGTTCGTCATGAAACTGAGATCAGACGGCTGTAATCTTTATGCCATTATTTGTTTCCTATAAGAAAAGGGCGAGCTATATTTTACATCTGTCTCCTTCCTTCTTTGTTCTAGCTAGATCTCTTTTCCTTCTGTTGGCACCTATATTACTCCTGTCCAAATATTTATACTAGCATATTTTAGAGCGGTTGATTTCAATCAGTCATCCTAGTAACACAGATGGTCTTAAGGCAGTAAACCACTTGAGAGGCACAGTCGTGTTTTGGAGGATAATATTAAAATGAATCACAGATAAAGAGTTCGACAATGTAGACAGTTCAATTGACTAAATATAAGGTTTAATTTGAATTTACTCGTACAGGTAAAAAAAGTAAATTTATCCCTGTAACAGGCTGTGGAGGCCCATAGCGTTGTGAGACGTCGAGGCTCTTACATTTTCTAGACAATCGCTTCACAGATGGCGGTGAGGTTGTCAGTCTTACGCGCCTGCCGTCCTTTACCCGTAAGTACTAATTTCTGTTACAGGCTGAGTCGGCACCAGGGCCACACTGCAGCTGGAAGGATTAGGTAATTTGGAAAAAAAAAAATGATCTCATCGGCAATCGAACCAGTGATCTTCCGGCTTGAAGCATAGTGCCTCAACCAACTATGTTACCGCGTGCTGCAGCTTATAGGTACCAATATTTCAGAGGAACATGCTGCATCCATATACAAGACACAAGACGCTATTGGTATTATAGCTTTATGCATAATCCGGACACACCAGCAGATTTTGCTGTGCTTCATGAAGAAGTTAGAGAATTTCATGTCTGGTACAAGGCTGTATACAAAATCAATATAATCCCGAAAATATCTGACGGGATATCCGAGTACAGGATCTGTCTTCTGGGATATGACACCGTGTAATCCGGTAGAAGTTTACCGACGGTCAGGAAAAAAGTCCTCTTCATGCTTCTCCCTTTGCTTAATATTAACCTTGAAGATAGAAGCGGTATATTCCTCCGAAACATCGTTAAGTTTCTACCAGGCTATACGGTGTCACATATAAGATAATTTTATTCATACTAACTGGCGTGAAAATCTCAAATCATGTATTATCTACATTGGGTAATATGTAAAAAATATCTATTTTAATTATAAACATCACTGACTGAACTACGTAAGCATGTCACCATCCACACGTTTAAAATAACATTAAAGTCACCCTTGAGAAATATTTCCATATGTAATTACGATAGAGGTACTTTAATGTGCATTTAAAACCTTCCCCAAATTTAATTCTACGATGCAACAAATGGTGTAATGGTGGGTCGTGGACAAGGTACTATTTGAAAATCATCTAATAAATTTGTCACCCAAGAGTCAACACACCTTTCTTAACCATCTAAATGTATACAATAGAACAAAACGTATAAAATGTTAATAAAAAACTTGTTACTGCACTGTAGCAACAACGCCACCTACCTCATCATGACATGCCAGGACCCTTAAACAACACATATATCGTGCTTGTTAACCGCGTCCCTCCTTCGCCCCACGAAACCACACGTCGCTTGCTCCACCAGGCTGCCTAATCCACATACAAATCCATGCTAACGTTCTCTACTGCACTGCACTTATATAAATTCTGATTTCAAAGAAAAGATTCTGAACTAAATAATGCTACATTTGTCGATATATTTAAAAATAGAACCAATTTTATTACAAGTAATTTCAAACCAATATTTTTCAAAACAAATTTAACATTTTGGCAAAATGGAAGAGGCAGCTTAGTTTGTTCTCGTCCGCCATACTTGCTCTCACTATTCGTGGCCCAGCCAGCGAGCATGAGACCAGAACATCTTATATCTCTGTTCCTTTCCCCCATTTTTTTTTCTGAAACCACCTGATCTTTCACTGTACTCCACGATCACCACACCTCCTGGCGAGAGAATCATGAATCAGAGGCTTGTTAACCTCTCGTAACCTTTTCTCTGTCTTCCTTTATTTAATTTTTTCTGTCTCCTTTACCTCCTTCTTCTTTTTCTGCTACAGACTTCCAATCTTGAAGTTCTAATACGTAGTGAAGAAAATTACTTGTAAACTGTAGGTAATGGATAGAGACATGTAACACTTCTGTAGGCAGCATGTAACGAAATGTACAAATGCCTGACAGTGCTAAATTAACTTTCGATAAACACTCACACGTAATGATATGTTGGGAGTTATCGCCCATAATTTATATGACAGCGTTGACTTAACGTGATTTATTGGCAATAAATTCTATGGCCGCTAATCTGACTACATACCATTAATTTGAAAACACATATTTTAAGTCGAAAACTTCTCCAAAATTAGGCAAATATTTAATGTTCTGCATTAATGCTGATTAGTTATAAATGTATTATTTTACTATGCATTGAAAGAGTGAAAATTGTTGTTAGCCCAAAAATTAACCGTTGAAATATGTTAATTTTCGATGGTATTAACAGAATTGATATTCATAAGCATTTAATTATAGACAGAAATCTCCATGGCTTCACTCCGCAAGCGAACTATACCGACCGAGCGCTCGCCGCTTGTAGGCGAAGTTAGTGACAAATTTAGCGGATAGAGGGTGTTGCGTGGTCAGCGCAACGGATCTCCACGGCCGTTCCTCACTTCAATGGAAAAGTAGCGGCTCCGGACTAGAAATTAGAGAAAAACAAAATGATATATCACACATCTATAAATTACATTAAATTTTTAAAATTCGAAAATTAATTTTTTAATTTATTATAATTAATAATATCGAATTTAGAAGACATTGAAATAAATATTACTTTGGAGTACAAAGAAAAATTTTGAATGAGAAGCTGTGCGTTGCATACTGTACAAGCGCAGGCATGTACAGTATCTAGTCACGAGTAATTTTGCCACATGAACAACAAATGTGTTATATGTATCTGCATCATTAAACGCTATATTTGGAAAAAGAATAACATTTTATTTGGCACTCAACACGTCAGTGTAGAGGAAGTGATCACCCGAGAGAATTCTATTACATTTATTCGGCATGAAAACTGAAGGTCTTTGAGAAAATGCTCAAGCTGTACCACTAGACCTATTTATAATACTTCCAAAACATTTGACATATCTGGATTACTAATAACTAAGTACACGCAGCAGACTTGTGGGATATGATAGTCACTTAATATGTCAAAAAATGCAACGTCTTTTGTGGGACAAAAAAGAACTCCGTGACTAGAGTCCGCATGCGAACTATACCGACCGAGCGACCGCCGCTTGTCGACGAAGTTAGTCCCAAAATCACAAAGCCGTTTATTTCGGTTTTCTAGACCGAAGCCGCTACTTTTCCATTCAAGTAACTCCTCAATTATCCCCACAAGACTGGGTGGGCCCCGTTCCAGACCCACTACTTCTCAGAAAATCTGGTAGCGTCGGGAATCGAACCCGGGACTTATGGCTCTGTAGCCAGGAACTCTGACAACCAGAAAACACAGAGACGGTTTTGTGGAGTCAGAAGGTTAAATATTTTCTTCACAAGAGTAGGTTATTCGCCTCCATCCTGAGCCAGCTGAATGCAGTCAATACCGCCAAAACCAAATTCTTTAAGATTAGTTTACATAATGTTAAGCATAGGCTTCTAACTGCACTAGGTTTCCCAAATGTGTCTCCCTTTGAAATTTCAGGACTAAGGGTTTGTATGCATTAGTCATCATATGAGCTTCCCCAAACTGAAGAAACAAGCCTCCTCAACTGTCCACTGTTTATATAAACACTCTCATTTACCCTTCTGTGGGGCCCTTTCTTCAACCGCAAGAAGAGGAAACGCCGTGTTATTGTGACAAGAGAAGCCACTCTCAACAATGCAACCAAGCAATAAATCACTACAGGTACAACAAAGTCGAAACCCAAAAAGTAAACAGAAAACAGTAAAACTTAACACCACCGTACTAATAACGAACATGAAAACAAGGACGGGACCAGGAAACCTACACAGAACATAAAATTAACTACCCATGCACGGTAACACGTGCCCATTAACAACAGTGAAATAATCACATATATTTACAGAACATCACAGCTTAGTAAATAAAAGCATATAAACAAACTCAGATAATAATAATAAGACACACACAACAATCTATGTCACCATAAAAATGAATCCGAAACCAGTCACAGATTTAATAACTAATTCCACCCATAACAACCCCCATATTACTAAATAAGACAACAATGAAAAAATAAGTAATAATATATTTCAAGAACATGGTTTATGCTGACCGTCTTACAGTTCATACACTTTTTCACCTTATTCTTCACTTCCACACTATATGTTTCAGCAATAATGTGCCATCTTCAGGTGTCTTTAAGCACGTTAANGATGGCACATTAGTGCTGAAACATGTAGTGTGGAAGTGAACAATAAGGTGAAAAAGTGTATACACTGTAAGACGGTCAGCGTAAACCATGGACATGAATCAGTGTAACAGGACGCTAAAATATAATATTTAATATTTCAAGAATTTTATCAATCGACGAAAAATAATTTATTTACATTTATATATATAAAACATTGAGTATTTGTATGTATATATAGTTATATGTAGTGTTTGACAAGACCAATAACAGGGGATCCGCTGAGAGAGCAGTTTGGTAACGATTAATAACACAATTCTATTATTCAGAAACGCCTGATGATGGTCGTAAAACGACACATGTAGCGTGGCAATATTTAAATAAACATCAACAATGAATACAACATTTCTGAATGACGGATATATAATATATTAGTGATACACACACAACAGGATTCATAACTTATGAATAAAAATACTAAACATAAAATAACAACACTAAAGCAAATGACAATAGACGTTCTTGTACGTAATCCGTCGGGAACGTAACACTCAGACAGAAGAGTGTGTCAACTGTAGATTTCCTAACTGAAGAAGTTTCGTTTTACGAACCCTCTCCAGGAACGTGACTATTCGTAAAAGTGGGGAACACCCTCATTTCCAAGTTGATTATCATTCTCAGTAAGAACATGTCGATGTAGGCAATTTGAACTAGTACCAATTAACATATTCTATGCCAGAATCTATAAATAACCTTTTTTTTTCCTTTGCACTACAGCCCCAGTGGGCCTAGGCCTACTTCCATGAACTTCTCCGTTCACTTCGGTTTCTCTAGATCTTACACATTCGGTAGGACTCCTTGGGCGGGTGATCAGCTCGTCACAAGGTACCTGTACACAAACACAGAAAAACGCACACACACAAACTAAACATCCATGACCTGAGTGGGATTCGAACTCACGATCCCGGTTTCCAAGCGGCTACCGTGACCGGCAATAAATAATCCTTACGCCTATTAATTTGGAATTAGCCGCCAAAGATCTGACAAAATTCAAGTCCTCCTCAAGTTTTCACCCTCCGACTATCATTGCGTGGCTCAAGATTCATCCCCTGAGCAGTGCCTTCTTCATGTATCCCACTTTGGTGTATACTTCTTACAAACTGATGTCGAAACGCATGCAATTCTGCACCGCCTAGACTTACTGTTACTGCTAACAAAACTGCAGATGAGTATTCTGCAGTATAATTTCTTTCGTCCCCTTATTTGCCTGTCTGTTCTCCTTTTTCCCCATCACTAAATATTACGCAAGTGCGTGTTTGCAAGACAACCAACTAGCAACACTTAAATTTGAGTACACATTTAATTGTTCAAACAGAAGAGAGATAAACAACTTCTCCTAGTGAAAGCCCATAAATATGACACACACACACACACACAAAACCTACACTTTGAATAGCTTCTGCTAATAAGGAGAGTCAGTCGCTTGGCTACTTATATTTGACATCACTTAAATCAAGTCCTTTCATATCCTTAAGCTCCAAAGTTTAATTGAACAAGGAGAATAAGAATTCCGCCCATTCCTCAAAATACCATATCATTCAATACGTCACTTAAATTAACCAAAGTTAACCAGACCACACAGTTAGTTAGTTAAAACACTCTACAGTTTCACATCCGTTTTTTTATTTAATCTTATACCGGGTTTTGCACAAGTTTTTTATATTTACTTCTACCCAGATGCATGTTACTCGCCTACAAACCCACCTACTCACTCCAGAAATACTTAGGGCTGGTAACAGACTGTTCTTTTTTATTATTATTGCTAGTGGGTGGGCCTAAGTCCTTTGTCCTGCGGCCATTTCTGGCCTACTGTACCAGCCCCAGATGATAGGTGAGGGTGACTGTGGAGCAATTGGTGGAATGAAGATTGGCAGGGGAACCGAAGTACTAGGAGAAAACCTGCTCCAGCGCCACTTTGTCCACCACAAATCCCACACTTCACCAGACACGGGATCGAACCCGCATTGCTGCGGTGGGAAGCCAGGGACTAACCGCTTGAGCTATGGCGCGGCCTGGTAACAGACTTATTGGATATCACAATATACACTTAAATCTACATCCATAAGCACTATCTTATGGTTTATTTAATCGTGCTATATAGCGTCAAAAATTAGAATAATTATTGAATAATTAAGGGGCTCATACATCAAAAGGAAGTACACTTGGTCCCACCTGAATACACCCTAGACACTGGAAAAACTTCAAACGGTGAACACTGTGGTGGGCAGTTTAATTTTTTTTTCTTTGGCACTACAGCCCCAGTGGGCCTAGGCCTACCTCCATGAACTCCGTTCACAGCTTAAATTGTAGACTAAGAATGAACTGATTTTCGGACTTTGTCCATCGTCCGGTATTCTAGAAACTACAGAACACAAAGTTTCGTAAACTGGATCTGTTTAGAAACTCAGTGAGGGGGAGACATTTACTTAGTTGCGACCCTTAGAAAACGCTAACGTCAGGTCGAAAACCCAGTAACTCTGGGCGTTACACACCATCGTCAAAACCTTTTACAATCTACTTACATATTAGAGCCCAG